GGTCTTCTGGGGGAGGGGACCTGCAAGGCTGGGACTGAGGCAAGAGTGACTGGAAAGGTGAATCCACAGAAGTGCAGGGATGGGGCTTGGTGTAAGCTAATTAGTTAGCAAGTGCCAAGTGTAGGTGTCATGCTGGTCCCCACAGGTGGCCCTGTGCTTATTATTGGGGGCAGGGGAGGTAAATAGCACCTTCTAGCTTCTTTCTTGCTGGAGAGGTCTCCCCTTGATCATTGCCTCTCTGGTCATGCTCTAAAATGAGTAAATAACTCTCCCTTCTGTATGTCCCTGGTATTTTCCAAACCGCTGCTTCCATGCTGTATCTCTACTGGCTTCTGTTGGATTGTCTCCTTAAGGATCGGGACTCCCCTTCCTAATGGCCTCCAGGCTCTCACAGAGCTGAGCCCCCTGATTTTTAAAATCCCAGGTTTTAAGTCCTGGTAACTGTAAAAACTCATGATATTTGGTCCCTCTTGCTTTCAAAGCCAATTATGGGGTTTCCTCTTCCCTTGAGGGCTCTCTGGTGTGATAGTCTGTGTTTCGGCCTTCTCCGCACCCTCCCCACTGCTGGCAGCCACGGTCTGGTCTGTTTTACTCCCAAACCTCGTCTTCACCCCTCCTACCTTCTTCAGTGTGGCCTCTTCCCTAATGTTAGTTGTGGAGTTTTTTCTGCCAGACTTCAGGTCATTTTCTGAGTTACTGAAGCTGATGTGAGTGTTATCTAGTTGTCTCTGTGGGAAAAGGCGAGCTTAGGGGTCCTCCCACTCCACCATCTTTCCAGCCTCTAACCAAGTGAATTTAGATTTTTATCCTGTTATTTTTTTTCTGGCTTTTTAAAATTTGCAAAGTTCTCTTCCAAAAATAAGAAATTGGTCTGTCCCTATATGTATTTTGTTTGTGTGTGTCCATGCACATGCACATGCACATGTCTGAAATGATTAAACACCTTACTTCTGTGTCATCAAAATTCTTGGCAAAGTACCCAGAGAATGCTTTTGTTTATTACTATACAGAGTTCTAGGCACCTAAAGCTTGAAAGAACCTTTAAGGTTATCACATTGAATCTTAATAAACCACTTCACCACATAATGAACCACATAATAATCAATTCACTCAACAAATATTTTGAGTCATTATGTTTCAAGAACTATTGTTGGTGCTAAGAGGATAAAGATGAACAAACCAGACATGCTTTTCAATGGAGAAGGCTCATTCTAGTGGGTGAAGGGATACAGACCACACACACAGGTTTGTGCAAGAAGGTCAGGTGAACATTCCAGGAGTACAGCCTGAGAAGGTGCTCTCTGGGCTGACTCTTGGCCAGTGTGCTCTCCCTCAATCACTGCACTGCTTTTGCTGGAGCACCAGCAGTGCATGCTTGGACAAAAATACTTCTGAAGAGTGTATTCCTCTTGAGCCCAAACTCACCATCCAACCTCTTCCACTATGGGTCCAAGTACTGCCCTCTGGAGGTCAACAAAATATATATGTGCCAATGTTCACTTAATCCTTCAGATGTTTGTCTTTCTAAGGTCTTTTCCTTTTATAATTAAACATTCTAAATTTGTATATTTTTCCTTCTCCCTGATTTTATTAGATCACTGCTCTCTGCTGTATCAATATGGCCCTTAAACTATAGTTCCCAAACCTGTATAAAATACTGCAGATATACTCAACTTTTGGAAAAAGGCAATGGAACTATCATCTCCTTTAACAAGACGAAACATTTGTGCCTATGAAGTCTAAGATCACATGAACATTCTGTTGCCACATCATATTCTCATTTAAATAATGAGTTAATCTCCAGTCTTTTTTCCAAATGAGATACCAAAGAGGTATTAAATATCACTATATTAAATAAATCAAAAGTAAAAAGAGAAAAATAATGCAATAATAGTACTTTAAATGGGCTTAGATATGAGGTTAGGACTATAAAATATGCCCTACACTATCAGATTCAATAAGTCTCATATGCTTGTCAGAGTTGGAACATGGCATTGGTGTTAAGACTGTAATAGCTCACTTTGGATCATATTAAAATTGCAGTCAACTAAAATCCATATATATACATATAAATATTTATATATATTTAATAAATGGCTTTGATGTCAAATACACAAATTCTTTATTTCAGCTATAGTTCATCTTACTGGTTTCTGCTTGATCACTGTTATTCAAAAGCTTATATGGCCCACCTGGTTTTCTGCCATCTGCAGATTTACCAATTATGCTTTCTTTTTTTTCTGATAGTCCTGCAAGTAATTGTTCCAAGCCCAAGGGTGAAACAAAGTTTCTTTTTTATGCATCACTATTTTGAATTGCTTTTGCTCAATATCAGTTATATATAGTTTACTTTTCAAAAGATTCATCAGATGATTTTCTCATCAAATAATTTACTAATATCTTATGGCATTTTAATACTACCTTCAAAATATAAAATGTTAGGTTTCCTAGTATTGACATGCTACTAAATCATATGAAAACAGAGGGCAATAGCCTCTGGTTTGTTAAGCAATTTTAGCCATGTTGACTCAAAACGTAGAGACTAACACCAGCAGACTCACTCTACAAACATATTAAATCACTCTATCATGTTCCAATTTAAAGATTTTTGATATAATGAGTGAAAACAAGATAGCCATGGGATACTTTCAGAAAACCTCAATGGCTTGCTATCATACACACTGAAAAACAACTGAGCAAGAATTGAACTAATTTCACTGATGGTGTAAAGCTCTAAAGGAGCTTAGAATCTTCTAGGAAGAAAAGCACAGCAGTAGGAATAAACTGTGGTTTGGTGATATGTACAGAATACAGTAAGAGGTCAAGGAAGAAGAAGGTGGGGGAAGTGCTCAGAAAGGATTTTGTCGATGAGATGTTTGATTTGAATCAGGTGTTCGTTAACAGGTACAGTAAAGAGTATTGCAGAAGGAGGTAAGACATTAGGCACAGGAAAGGAAGAAGGAGTCAAGAGGTTTCACACTAGAGAAATTTTGAAGTGGCTGAAATAGACTCTTAAGGAACTAATGTGGAGAGGGTTCATGAAGCTGGGGAGGTTAGCAGGGATTGGGTCATGAAGGTCATTGTGTACCACGTTGACGGTTTAGGACTTGAGTTTTCAGAGGATTGCCCATGTTTCTATAGTTTTATGGCAAGATTCTGAAATTTTTATTTTTTATATTCCTATTAAGAGCCAAGGTTGAATATTCTAAATTAAAGGCATCTCCCTCAGATAAGAATCCACTAAGTTATGTTCCTCAGGTTCCCCATATACAATCCAGCCTTGCCACTGTCTCTCTAAATGCAGAATAGTTGAGTTGTCCTACTGATACCAACCTATCATTTCTAACCTTTCATTTCCACTGTTGTATAACAACCATCAAAATAAGTAACTTAAAATCAAGTTTGGTAAAAAAAATTAAAATCAAGTTAATTTTAATAAAAACTTAGAGTAAGGAGTATTATAGGTTATGATTTGAGAGTTCACTTTACCAATATTCAGAAAGTTTCTACTGACATTTTCAATATTTCAAAATATATCCTAATTCACAATGAGGGTTTATCATTTGTAAGATATTTAAGAATGTTTACATTTAGGCAGTAGTATGAGATTTTCCTAAAATAATAATTAGAACATGCAAAATTATCTTTGAATATTTAAAAGGGAATCACAGATCACAGTCACTCCATAATTTTTAATGTACTGTCAACAGACTTTTAAGGAGAAAAAACACGTGCTACTGTCTTCAGAAATACTGCAATTGTAATTTATACTCAAACTTGTATATGAATATCTATTCAACCTACACCTTTAAGCTCTACCTTTCAAAACTCTAAATTTCTATTATTTAAATTTTTATTATAATCCATTATCAGTGGAATCCTTATATACAGTATATGTATGCAAATAGAGTCTATATACACCTTATATATGTACTTTGAATGGGATACACACACACACACACACACACACACACACACACACACACACATCCTCAGAGGAAAATAGCAAAAATAGCCACCAGTAAAAATGAAGAAGACAAAAAAAAAAAAAAGCCACCAGCTTTGGAAGTGTTATGCAAAATTCTTCAATTGTGGCAAAAGAATCATGAAATGCACACACAATTTAAATTTAAATTTAAATTTAAATTTAAATTTAAATTTAAATTTAGAAAAAGGCTTGGTGTGTTTAGGTTCAGCATGCATTGTTTATGCTGCAAGTTTATGAAAATTGTGGTTTTAAAGAGTGTGTGCATTTTATTTTATAGAATAAATACTTCTTTTTTTTTTTTTCTTTTACTAGAACAAGGCGGTGTTTGTTTTCCTTTGGGAACTCACTTTTTATGCATATTATGACATTTCAAATAGTAAAATATGAATTAAAAATTTAATTTTCCAGTAATAGCCTTCACATAGTTAATAGGGGTTTCTAAACAGATCAGAGTCTTGAAATAAAGACAAGTGATCCACTAAAATTTCTACAAACAGTCAAATCTCACATGTATCTGGAACCATTGTTACATTCTAATCCCAAATTGCTTCTTTTTCAAAGACAGTTATCTCCAAATCTGAAGAGGACGGGCCTCTTTCAAAATGGAAGGGGAAAGCAAACAGTTAAATAAAATAAACATAAGTGTCCTTTTCACTGAAGGAGGTTTCACACAAAAGCAACACAAGGCAACTGTTGACAGTATCTCTTAAACAGCTGAATGGCATCTGCAAAGCCTGAAGATTTGAAAATATATATTTACACCAAATATATTTATAAAAAATCTGTTTTGAGGTTTGTGAAAAATAAGCTCAATCTCCCTTTTCCCCCAAAGTATGCATGGTATATATGCTAACTTACTGAATTCATCCTTCATGCAATTCCAGTTTATTAAAGAGGTTAAAAATTTATAAAACTCTGATGGGATATGGTTTTAATGCTTCATCACACTACCCATCATTTGCTTTTCAATCTAGATCAGAATGATCTTTCCTACTTCCCTGCAATCACCTACCTGCACAGCTAATATTTTCTGAATACTCTCTTGAGAGTCTGTCTGGAACTTGGCCAGCCTCATCTGGCCGCAGAGGACCACCAGTTTGAAGTGATTCTGCCACACCTTGTGTATCCTTCTTTGCAGCTGACAGAGCTAAAGGGAAGAGGGAGGGGGCAAAAACACAAGTCAGAGTAGGAGAGGAAATTAATGGCAGTGTTCAAGAAGAATGATGGAGGGAAATATAGAAAGCAGTCAATAGCCCATTCTGCACTGTACGGACCTGACAGGAATTTCACAGTCTCCTGATTTTTCAGCCCACTCATGTGCATTCATCAGAAACCAGTCACATCTGGCCGCCAGGATGGGGGGTTAATTTTCTCTAAATGCCTCAGCAGTTTTGTTCTAGCTGAGGCAAACTCTGTGACTGCAAAGCTGATGAGTAAAATATTTCTACTTCACCCAGTTTAACTCAAAACCGATAGCCTCGGGACATATTGAACCTTTCTTTAAAAAAATAATCTTTTGAAGCTTTTTTGAATGGCACATCAGGTCGGGCCAAAGTTTAAAAATGCAACTTTAGGACTTTGATGGACACCATTGCTTCTTTTTTTTTCCTCATAAAGCTCACCATTGCTTGGCAATGTGTGCTTTAGAGCATGACAAAACTAAAGAGAATTAACTTAGCCATCAACTGCTGAGGGAGAACAATAACAGGGAAGAAATTTCCAGCTAGAACTCCCTATTAATCTGCCTCCCTCTGACTATGTGGCATGGAAACATCTCACTGCACTAACGTACAGTGGACACAGTGGTTAGAGGTGACACGTTTAATACAACACAGAATTTACACAGGAAAATATTTCTCCTATGAGGCATCCTATACTTTTTGAAGTTTAATATAAAACCAAACAACAACAACTAACACAGTAGAAGTTTTCCCAAGACAATGAACATTTGTCCCTCAACAGTTAACATAACCACACTATATAGAATTGCTACAATAAGGTTATTTTCAAAGAAATACAGTTCATAAAAATAAATGATAAAAACCGTATTAAAAACACTTTAATATATTGTCATTGAAACCTCATTTTTTTTGGTTATGTGGATAATTGTTTATGTTGATTTCTTTTTAGTGTATTTTTCAGGGTGAAAAAATAAACACCACAAATTTCGTATCAAACATTTCTTCACAACAGAATAAAAACATGTCACAAATTATGGTTATTTTATGTTTTATTTATTGATCTGCATACTGGCTACATGTTAGGGATACTTGCAAAATTTGATCAGACTGTGCATGGAGGGCTTGTGAACTCTTCTGCAAGCATATTTCAATAAAACAGTTTACTTAAAAACAATTTTTAACATAATCACCTGGTGTTGCATGTGAATTGGCTATAATCATTACCTTCATTATGCATTGTAATAAGCAACACACAGGTATTTATGCAGGTCCACAGAATAAAAACCACTATTCTTTGTTAATTGATCAACTTGTGAAGAAAACATAACCTTGAAAACTATAGAATTTCAGCTTGTTAAGTGCCGAAATACATTACTCCTGGGATTACATTAAGGGCATTTCACATCATTTATGCTATTGAATTAAAGATTAACATCACTTTTTGAAGAGAAAGTCTGTCAATATTAAATGGTTTTCTGTAATATTTAATAATTTTAATATAATATTAAAATAATTTTTCTGCCAACTCTGACAGCCATTGGGGCAGCGTATGCTGTATCTTAATGTACTCACTAAGACATTAAAGACACTTTAGTCTGTGGATTACTCCATTACTATGGTATCTGCAAATATGACAAAAGGCAAATAAGAGGAAGATAGATTTTAGAGGAATTCTTCAAACCGAAGGTAATTTTTTTTACAAGTGGGAGCTCTCAACATGTGAAAGATTTTACAAGTGGGAACTCATTAACCAAAGTGAACGGAATGGTAATGTTTCCCATATCCACATCGTAAATGAAGAGAACAGCTGTATACGTTAAATCTATTTTATTCAGTTTTCTGAATTTTGGCTTGAGGTAGCCACAAAGGTCTTAAATTAGTCCATATACAAATGATAAACTACTTAATCTGAGAAGTTCCTTAAGTATCAACTAAGAAAGAGTAATATCTCAAGAGAGTTTGTTTGTTTGTTTGTTTTTAATTTATAGCTAATAGGCCTCTGAAAAAAGAACTGGGACAGAATAAAAACTGAAGAAATTCTTACAAAGAGAGAATCAGCATCCAGTAATCGTCACATATATACACACACATATCCACACTAAAGAAAATGAGATGATCAACAATAATATATATGGAGAAATATTTAAGATGCTGGAAATGACACTTGATTTAATATAAAGCTTGACTATGCTGACAACTATTTTAAGAAAATGGTTATGATGAAAGCCCACTTGTAAGATGTCAGTAGACAGTTATCACTCAATAAATACTGAAATTAACTCAATAAAATGAGCTGGTAAAATTTTAGTGGTGAAGCAAAGAAGAAAGTAAGACTTTCACAAACTTACTAGTTAATAAGAGAAAAGAAAAATAAACAAAGTAAACATAAGCGACACAAAAATAGGTAAAAGGAAAATTAAAGAGAAGTTGTGAGTGGAAAAGTACTTTGGGTAGACACAACTGAGGTTGGAAACCCAAAGGAACTGGAACGGTTTCTGACATCTCCACCTTCAATTAACCTTGTGTTTCTGTAATGAAAATCTTCAATGATTATATCCTTGAAATGTAATCATTTATTCCTGATATGATTATATTCCTTCCTTCTCCTTCATATTTTAGGGAAGATGAAGTGGAATGAGAGAGGAAGTGGTAGAGAAACAAACAAACAAAATGGTAAGGGACACAGACACACTGGAAAGGGTTATAGCAACGGCACAGTAAGGACTTGCCATGCACTTAGAAGAATGGAATTTAGAACCATTGACAGAGTAACCAGGCTGCTGCTTAGCCCCAAGTGCATACTACAAAAATTTTGGACAAGAATGTATATATTCTCATAGCAAACTCAGAAGGAGCACACAGGAACAGGAAAAGAGTCATTTTGAAAAAAAAGATACTCAACTTCAGGGCCCTCAGTTTTGTACACAAAGAGAAAGGATATTCAATGGCATCAGGAAAGCTGAGTCAGGCAACAGTTGGCGTGTACTCTGAGACATTTAAAATGGCAAAAAAGGGGGCGCCTGGGTGGCTCAGTCAGTTTCGAGTCCGACTCTTGATTTCAGCTCAGGTCATGATGTCATCGTTTGTGGGATTGAGCCCCACATTGGGCTCTGCTCTGACAACATGGACCCTGCTTGTAATCCTCTCTCTCTGCCCCTCCCATGCTGGTGCATGGGTGCTTTCTCTCTCTCTCTCTCTCAAAATAAAAAATAAACTTGAAAAAAAAGTTTAAATGGCAAAAAGGAATGTAGTTTTCTTTCTTTTTTTTTATCCCCAGCTTATTTATTTATTTTAAATATAATTTATTGTCAAATGGGTTTCTATTCTGCAAATGGCTAGATTTCATTCTTTCTCATTACCAAGTACTCTTCCATTGTATATATAAACCACATCTTCTTTACCCATTCATCACTTGATGGACATTTAGGTGCTTTCCATAGTTTAGCTATTGTTGAAAGTGCTGCTATAAACCTTGGGATATAAGTGCCCCTATGCATCAGCACTCCTGTATCCTTTGGGTAGATTCCTAGCAGTGCTATTGCTGGGCCATAGGGTAGTTCTATTTTTAATTTTTTGAGGAACCTTCTCACTGTTTTCCAGAGCGGCTGCACCAGTTTGCATTCCCACCAGCAGTGCAAGAGGGTTCCCGTTTCTCCACATCCTCACCAGCATCTATAGTCTCCTGATTTGTTCATTTTAGCCACTCTGACTGGCATGAGGTGATATCTCACTGTAGTTTTGACTTGTATTTCCCTGATGAGGAGTGACGTTGAGCATCTCTTCATGTGTCTGTCGGCCACCTGGATGTCTTCTTTGGAAAACTGCCTATTCATGTCTTCTGCCCATTTCTTTCCTGGATTATTTGTTTTTTGGGTGTGCAGTTTGATGAGTTCTTTATAGATTTTAGATACTAGCCTGTTATCCGATATGTACTTGGCAAATATCTTCCCTCATTCTGTCAGTTGCCTTTTAGTTTTGTTGATTGTTTCCTTTGCAGTGCAGAAGCTTTTTATCGTGATAAGGTTCCAATAGTTCATTTTTAGGAATGTGGTTTTCTAACAATGGTTTGTGGACAGTTTGAATTTGTAGTAGATTTGGTAAGTTGGGCTCCAGTACTTGCTTTGTGAGTTCTTTGCTGAAGGAAGCCCAAAGACAAAATTCATTGATATTTCTTTTGAGATAATGATCACTATGTAGCTATTCAGAATGAAAAAAAAAATCAATGTCCACATTGATGTGGTATTTCAGATACAAAGAGCTGGTGTCAATGTCAGCATTGCATACAATGTCCATTTGTATATAATATACATTTATACATTTGGTAAAAATTCCTTCTGATTAAATTTTATTAGTCTTCTATGATATTTATTAAATTTAAAGCTTGATATTCTCTGTTAGTAAAATAGAGTAAATTAAAGTTGTCACTTGCAAGAATGAAAGATTCTCCATTTTCCTATGTTATACAAAATTATATGAATTCTGTTTTTAACCCAAGTTATTTGATGACTTATATAAATTCATGAAAACTAGCAACTCCTATATATCACACAAATCTGGCCTTAATACTAAATATAATATATATATATATATATATATATATATAACAACACATAAACCCTCTAATTACATAGATTTAGATTTATATTATTTTATTGCTGTTATACATGTGAAAATTATAATATTTTAAGAATAATATAAACTATTTGATATTCCAGTCAAAGGTTTCAAAAACATTAGGCCCAACCATAAACAAATCAGCACCAAAATACTGCCTTACACCATTCTCATATTCTCAACACTGAAATTAGAAATTTCAAAGCATCACTTTTTTGGTTATTTTCCAAGGCCAGGTTGGAGTATGCAGTTGTCTGGCTTATGTTATGGAGGAGACAAAAATAAGTAAAGCCTTCTTATCCTAACCCAAAGGGGAAAATTGGGACACGTTGTGAAGAATGGGGCCATATAG